AAAATTTTCAAAGAATCTACAGAATTTAAAGTTACAATTGATCATACTAATAAACTTACAACATATTTTTGAAATTCAAACAACAAATTTTTTATTAGATAATTAAAAGAAATATAATATGAAATTTATAAAAAATATATAATACTAATTGCTTCAGATAAAACAAGATGAAATAGTATTTATAAAATGTATTTAAGTCTTTTAAAAACTCAATAAGCATTACAAGTAAATAAATTTTATTTAATAATTATTATATTTATTTTTTAAAAAAAAGTATTAAAAAATTTATTATTTAGATACTGGTTATTAAATATAAAAACCTATTATAAAAATTCATCATAAAAAAGGAAAAGATTTAACTATTTTACATATTATATTTAAAATAATTAATTCTAATAACTTTTGAAAAAATCTTATATTATTTGTTAATATTCTTAATTCTTATTGTAAAATACTTAATGTTTTACAATCTGATAAAACATGCTTATTTTAAATAATACATAGTTTAGGATATTTATGTCAATATTAGTTGAATTATTTTAATATTGAATTTGCTACAAAATTAATTGATAGACTTAAACAATATTGAAAAGAATGAGAACAACTACTTCTTATATAATCTTGTTTGTTACATCTATATATAAAATAAAATGTTTTAATAATATAATATTTAATTTTAATTATTCAACATTTGGTAAATAACTTACATATTATTATTATACATAGTCAGAAAAAGAACTAAAGTATATTATTTAAGAATTTGATGATTTTGTTTAAATAGGTATTATTTGATATTAATACATACAAATTTAATGATAATATTTGGAAATATTAGTATTATGTTAGACTTTCTACAAATGAATTAGGCTTTACAGCTTCTGTAAAAAGACTTTAAAAATATATGAGATTTTTTATAGATAAATAGACGTAATCGATTAAAGATATATTAATTTTTATTTATATATATATTAATTAATTTATTAGATATTAAATCATTTTTTTTATTATAATCATTTAAAGCTCTTATAATGAGTAAATTAAAAGCTAATATTACATATTCTCAACATTTTAATTTTAATAATATTATATCTGATTTTATTATATCAGATACTGATATTAATATTACTAATATTAATATTAATTCAATGAAAAAATAATGAAATTTTAATAAAAAATTATTTAGATTCAGATGATAAATATGATCAAATAAATATGAAAAATCAATTTGGTGAATATTTTTAAGATTATATAAATATATTAAAAGAAAAGAAATTAACTAATAATAATAATGATTTAGAAAATATAATAGATGATATTACTCATTCTGCTATTAATAGTAATGCAAAATGAATATTAAGAACTTTTTTTAAAAATAATCTTAATTTACTTTTTTAATTTTTTTACATTTATTATTATGATAATATAATATTTAATAGTTTTGGTTTATTTAATAAAGATTTGAATATTTTATAAATATTAAAAAAAGTTATGTGATTTATTCTTTAAACTGTTTATTTATAAATTTTTAAGTAATTTTATTTTATTAATTAAAATTAATTTTAATTATTATAAATTTATGATATTTTTTAAATAAAATTTTAAAAAAAATTAATATTTTAGTAATTTTTTAAAGATAAAATATTGTTAAAAATAATTAAATTTTTAAATTATATATTTTACTAATTATTGATTTTAAAATATAAAAATATTATCATTTAATAGGTCTTAATAAAATAATTTAATAAATTTTTTTTTTTTTTATAATTATTTAATTTAGATAATAAATTATTTTTAAAAATTAAAAAATTAAAAAATTAATATATATTAATAATTATTAACTTAAAAAATTTAAAAATATTATTATTAAATATATCATAATATAATAAATTAATAGATTTTATTTTAATTTTTATGATTATTAAATATTTCTATATTAATTTTATATTTAATTTTATATCTATAATTTAACAGATATATTGTTCTAAATATGTTCTGGACATAAAAATTAGAAATATGTCTTAAAATTATTCTATTCTGTACTGTCTCATATCTATATTCCTATCATATGATAATACTGATATAAGGTACTATTGGGGATGCCCTTATTGAATTTGAATTTATGTTTGAGAAAGATTCTAATACGAGAAAAATATAATGTAATATTCTTTAAGAAAGAAAACTATCAGTTAAGAATAGTATTCTAGTTAAAGAATAAGAACATAATTGAATAAAAATTTTAATTGTTTTATCAGTTAGCAGTTTAAATTTTAATTCTAGAATAAAATCAGATATTTTCTTATCAATTTATTATTTATTAAAGTTTTTATTATAAAGTACTAAGATCTAAATACTTTGAAAAGAAATATCGATGATAATATACTCAAATATAAGAATAAAGGATTTTTCAATATTGACTTGCATAGAATTAAGATCAAAAAAGATTGAACAATATCAAAGATATTTTTTAGTTTTGAATAACTATCAGTAATCCAAATAGTATTATCTATATATGTTGAATTAGATAAGAAAGTGAAGATAGTCTTAGAAGTGCTATCATTAATAAAAGATAATCAGAACACATCCATAATATAACTGAGGTTAAAATTTTTATATATGACAAAGGGATTATAGTAGATAACCCATAAAAGATGAAAGATAACTTCTTCTTGATCAATACTGACTAATACATTATAAAATTCAGTATTACCATAAGTTATAAACATAGAGTTTTTATAATTAAGAAATAAATTAGTAATCAAGGTGATAAAAAGAACTGGAATTTTAAGTTTTTTTATTACTTTTTAACATATAAATATTGACACAATCATAAACCATTTTGGATTACTAGATACTAAAATATTTCAAAAAACTGTTTTTTCAATTTTTTCAATGTTATCTGAAATATGACTTATAACCTGACCTGACCTGATGCTTCAGATCAGGTAAAATAAGATACTGACTTGACTCAACCTGTTCAGAACTCTATTTACATCAATTTTTTAATATTTATAAATTAAATAATATTATTATATTTAAAACATATTAAAATTTAATTTAATTCTAATCAATAATTCTGAAAAATACAATATCAAAAATGATTTTAAGAGACTTTTTTTAGAGTTTTTATAATAAATACTAGTCATATTTAAATTTTTATTGATAATCAAATTAATCTAATTTTTAACTTTTTTATATTAATTAGTATTTTATTTTATTCTTAAATTGTAGCATAAAAATTTGTATTTTTAATAATAATATTTAATTAATTTTTAGAAAAAAATAAACTAAAAATCAAGTAAAAAGTAGGTTTTTGATAAAATTTAATTTATTAAAAAAAATTGATAAAGCATTATATAACAATAAATTTGTTAAAAAAAATTCTAATATGATTTACAAAAGATTTACCTTATAGTTTTCATATATAATTTGTATAAAAAATTTACATAAAAAGAACTTTAATTACAAATTAATTTACTTGACTAACAATTTAATTTACCTGTCTAATAATTATGCTTTTTGTTAATTTTAAAATTAGCAGAATATTTAATAATTTATTTATTTTTTTAAAAAAACTAAGTTTATAGGAAAATTTGCCTATTTAATAAGAAATAATAAAATGATATTAACTAATAAATATGTGAAAATTTTTATTTATATAAATAAAATTTTATATTATATACTTGTATATTATTTTATCTAATTGAAATTTTATTTTAAGAATTAATAAAAATATACGCCCGTTTAATTAATAATTTATTTGGCTATAAAATAAAAAAAAAAAAAAAATCTCGGGTATTTTCAAAATTTGTACCCCAAAAACCGGGGGAGGGTATTATACACGAGGGAGGGTATTTAAAATTTTTTTTATTTAAAAAAATAATAAATGTATAACTATTGAAGAAATCATCGAATAAAATATAAAAATCTTTGATTCTTGGATAAAAATTGATTTGTTCAATAAAGTAAATGATAGAGTGCATGGCTGTGACACAATGCAATGTTAGTCGTTTTGAAATTAATCTATGACGTATAGTAGTACAAAGCAACAAGACGTCATAATGATATCATGAAAAACATGTAAAATTCGTTAGTAGCTTAACACGAGTTCCGGGCTCCGCTAGCCATTATCTAAGCTCTATAATGATCAAATTTCGTCATTTTGTACAACATTCTCCCAACTTTTAGTCCAGAAATTCAAAATTCATGCGTAATCTCTTTCCCTTCCTCCTTATTCCCAAGAGCACTGAGACCCTATCTTTTTACTTACCAACCTTACATTTTTTTTTTTTCCTCAATTTTACAAAGTTCACTTTTTTTATTTTGCCAATTATATAAACATATATATTGTTGTGGATTAACGAGTAGTTTTATTTTAAGGCGAAGATTGTAAGGCGAAGAGAACATAAATAATTAAAAAAAATATTTTTGATCCACTGGTTCGAAATAATTCATAAAGGTACTTGTTGACTGTAAATTTTTCTCGTGTACAACCAAAAGTTTTAAATTAGTAAAATAAAAAAAAAAAAAAGGCGTTAGCAAGTTCGAATTTAGATAAGACGAATTGTATCGAAACAGAAGTTTTGACCTAATGCTGGCGAGTTATTCCACTAATACAATGAATAATGAAAAGATATAAAAGGGAATAAGCAAGATGTATTGGAATTGTAAAGAAGGAATAGATGTCATTTCCCAAACTGATGATTTATTATATAGTATCTAACTGTATTTATTATTCCTTTTATTTTTATATTTATAATATCTGGGCATAAGGTTTTAGGTAGATAAAAAAAAAATTTGTAATTTTTTTAATAATTTAAATTTGTTTCGTAATTAAAATAGATCTATTAAAATTTGATTACTTATAATAATTAAAAAAAAAAATATATTATCATTTATTGAACATATTATATACTTTTTTCCTTCCCTAGTACACCAAATTCACAGATTATATTAATTGAGAACACAAGAGTCAGGAACATAAGAGTCAAGTGGATCACGCAATGAACTCTTTTTATTCTGACATTCTTGAAAATTCTTCGCCGACTTTGGTAACAAATGTAAATGGACGCATTCTCTATGTCAATAGACCTGCATTATGTTTATTGGAGAGATATCGTCCTTCCAAGAGACAAAATTCAAATAATGTTAATGATAATCCAGATCCAAATTCTTTTATAGGTAGTCATTATACATCATTACTTGAACCTCTAGATTTATACGAAGATACATCATTGCGTAATCATTTAATGAACAATGTACAGATATTAAGTAAACGTACTTATGTTTGTCGGACAATTAAATGTCGAACATTTATAAGCAAAAGGCCTATTATGCTCGAGTTTTCAACGCGTACATGTACGTTTCCGGGGTTCTCTACAGATAATAATGGTATGGAAGAAAAAAATTTTACGATACACCCTTCACCAACCGATAATGATAAAGTATATTCAAGAAATTCTTCTATCCTTGGGAAGGAACATATTGAAACAAGAAGCGGTGAAAATGGAGATGAGGGGGGTGATGATGATGATGATGAGCATGAACAATTTTATGATGCTATAGAGTATACAGATGATGATAATTTGAAGTATAATTTAGACCGATCCGGCAACAATTGTCAAAATGTGGATGACAATAATAATTTATATCAAGAGGATTTATTAAATAAAACGAACTTGGCAATTTCGGATAGTCGAGTTGTTGATTCGGTCTTTGTAGCTGAAAGCGTAAAAAATTTGATATTAATTAGTACGATTCGAGATGTAACTGATTCAAAATTCCAGGAATTCGTACTAAATGAAGCCGATAATCGTATATCAATTACATATGATGTGACCGGAATTATCAGAGAGATTTCTAGATCTTGTAAATCGATATTTGGTTTCGAAACAGATGAATTACTTGGGACTGACGGTTACTCCTATATTCATCCTGATGATATAACTGAAGTTCGAACTTACCTTGCTAAATGGACTGTCGAAAATGGTAGTACTACTTTACAAAGGCAGGCTTTTCGTCATCGGAAAAAAGATGGAAGTTATTGTTTATTGGAGATATGGACTCAAGGTCTTCAACCCGATGGTGCTTGGTCATTTGTAGGTTTCGATATAACAGATGCTTCTGATCATCTGGTGGATAATCGTACATTTATCCGTAAACTATTGCCAAAAAATGTCGAAGGAGAGTCTCGTGATAAAGAAGCAAATAATTTTGTTTCCTTCATTTGCCACGGTATGTAAGATATTTTGAATTCTGCAGTTCTCGTGATTTATCTTCCTCCCCCAAAAAGAAGGAAAAACCCTCCATATATATATTTTGACAATAAACATTATATATGAGATTTTCTCATTTTTGATATCAAAATCCCTAAAAACTGTCAATGTAATTGTTTTTATTAAAAATTATTTTTTTTTTTCCCTTTTTTTTAGAACTTCGCAATCCATTGAACGGGATAATTGGCTTCACAACTTTATTACTGGACACTGCACTCTCAAATGAACAGCGCGAATATGCCGAAGCTATTTCAACAATAAGCAATTATATGTGTAATATCATTAACCAATCACTTGATTTATGTCAAACCCAATCTCATGGTACAACAACTTCAGATATTGGACCTTTAAGATTGAGGGAGGTAGTCGAATTTGGTTTCTTAACTGTCACTGCATTGGCTAAAACAAATGGGACAGAGCTTTATTTACAAGACGATTTAACGACCTTGCAAATAGCTGGTCAAAAATATCAAATAAATAACGACGGTATTAACATCGAGATTTTATCTCGAGTAAAAGATTTAGAAAACAAATGGTATGGAGATGAAGACACCGTGCGTAAAATTTTATTGAATTATTTAACAAATGCAATCAAACATACCGGATCCGGAAAAGTGACAGTACGTCTTGAGGTCGCATCTGATAAATTACCGGATGGTAAGGAAGGATTTATGGCTAGATGTTCAGTTGAAGACGACGGTCCTGGAATTCCGCAAAAAGACCTTAAACGACTTTTCTTACCATATTCAAAACTAGTTTCATCATTTGGTGAAATGAAAAGTCGCAATGAGGGGAATATTGATGGCTCGAGGTCACCTAACCATCAGCAATCACATAGGTGTTCTGGTTTAGGTTTGAGTATTTGTAAAGAATTGGCTGATAAAATGGGTGGTAAAGTTGGAGTGGAAAGCGTATTTGGTAAAGGTAGCACTTTTTGGTTTACATTTCCCGTGTATACTGGCGTACCTGAAGTTGTCGAAGACGATTCCGATACCGGAGCTTCTTTTTGTGAAGAAACATATAGCGGAAATGAAGGTTCAGATAAGGGAATTTTTATAGATGATGCTAAAGACAATGTTTCTGAATATGGCCGGGAAAATTTATCAAAAAGACATCGGTCTCCTGTTAACAGTGTTATTTCAATAGATTCTTCATCATCGATATCTTCTGCGAATTATTCCAATTCACGTCCAAGTTCTATTTCAACTAATTCGAGTGACAGAAGAAATTTTGGAAGTCAACGGAAGCATAAGAAACCAACAAAGGTTCTTATGGTTGAGGATAATGAAATCAATCAACAAGTTGCGATAAAATATTTGGAAAAAATGGGTGAAGCAGTCACCGTAGCTGCAAATGGTATAGAAGCATTAGAGAAAATGAAAAAAGAGAATTTTGATATTCTTTTTGTTGATCTACAGATGCCTAATATGGTAAATTATTTATTAACTTTTATATTATATATTTTTGATTAAATTATTGCCACTTTCTTAATTTAATGTCTTATTTTTATTAATTATTATTAGGATGGGTATACATTGACTCGCCAGATTAGAGAAGCTGAATGTGAAGCTTGTGAATGTGATTCACAAGATTGTGAATTTCAAAACATATCATCACACGACGCTTCCACACCTCCACTTACTCCACCAGGATCGTCATCAACATCAAAATCTTCATTCCATATAAACACGCAACCTTCGCCAGTAATATCAAACGTTTCATATGCATCATCATCATCATCATCTTCTTCTTCTTCTTCATCATCATCATCAACATTATCATCGTCGTCATCTTTAGAGTCCCCCACCTCATCCTGCCCGCATTCACAATTACCATCACCAATATCCTTCTCTAATTCTAATATACATGCATCTTCAAGAAATTCCCGTTGTCTCGATCCATCGTCTCTTAAGCATCGACATCATAAACATATACCTATTGTAGCGTGTACTGGTAATGTGTTAGGAAAAGAAAAAGATAGGTGCATAAAACATGGTATGGATAGGTTTTTAAGTAAACCATATCGAATTGAAGAAATGAAATCGTGCATAGAAGAATTAGTAGAAAGTGATTATGAGTCGTCAGTCGGGGACGAGGATTTTACTAATCATAAAAGTGAAAGTAGTAGTGAAAGTTATAATTTTAAATTACAAATTAACCATAATGATCGTGGTTATGAACCCTTGTCTATAGCACTAATATAGGAATCAATATATGTTGGTTTTGATGTAAACGAAGAGACACTGGTCTAATTCATTGTTGCATATTAATTTTATTTAGAACAAGAGTGAGCGTAGGAAAAAAAATTTTTTCTTTTTTTTAAAAATGTTTCTTAACTGTTGATCAGCTTAGTTACTCTTCTTGTATTTTTATTAACTTTTCACGTTATCCTTCATCTTTCCCTTACCTCCTTTCCCTTTCCCTTTCTTGTGTAAATTTTATTAACTTTTCCTTTTTCATTTAATATAACATAAATATGATATAATTATCTATATCTGTCAAAAATTCTCGCAGGTTCGGTATTAGATTAGAAAAAAGTTGTAATTCTCTAATTAAAAAAAATTATATAACTTTAAACATTTACCCCCAACGTTATGACGATTTAATGAATGTAACTTTAAAAATCTGGACTAGAAGAAATTTTTATTGAGCGCAACCTAACTTTATATGTTAACGAGAAAAAACTTGTGAGGTACTTTATAAATTTAAAACTACCATGATCAAATGTTTTCGTAATCATTTCGTTAACAGCATAAACAACATATAAGTGTCAATCAAAACTTTCAAAAAATTTAAATCAAAAAAAAAAATTAAATAAAAAATCTGGATCATGTCTTCACCACGTTATGATACAAAATCTCATGTTTCACACATCGCTCAATCTTATACCGATGTTAAGGGTGAACAAAAACACGAATTAAATGATAAATATGTTCAACCTCTAAAAGAACCTTCTCCAAATTTACCTTTTGATCAGAAGTTGGCTATTGAAAAAGAAAGTCATAAACAAAAGGCTGATCGTGAAATTAAAGAAGCAGATGAGGAAGTTGTGAGGAAGAAGGATAATCAACAATCAAAGAAAATGCCTGCAAAAAAATGAAATTCATTCTTTGATTCTTTTGGGAGCGTTTTTTTTTTTTTTTTTTTCTTTTTTTTTTTTTGATTATAAAAATTATTGGTGATTGAGGATGCGGATAATTTTTTTCCTTGTATGATTCTTTTTGACAAATTTTTTTTTTAAATAAAAATCAAAATTCAAATTCAGAAATGAGTTGCTGCGGCAGCACATAATGATAAACTTAATAATCACATAAATAGAAACTATTACTTTTTTTTGGAAATTTTGCATGATTGTAACTCGTTATATCCAATTATCAATGCAAGGGAAAAAAAATTTAATGTGATATTTTCTGCTTCTTTTCTTCAAACTGTTGTTTAATTCTTTTCCTAATATGCTTTCCCGTATTATTATGATTATAACATTTTGGTTCTTTATAGAAAATGTTATTAGAATTGACGCGACGATAAGTACGACTTCAAAAAATCATCAATTTAATGAGTCTATAAATACCTTTGATCATAATGAAATATCAAAAAATATTTTAATTGGTTCTTTCATTGGAGGTAAAATTGAATTAAGAAATAATTAAAATAAATAATATAATTTATTTATATCTAAATAACAAAGATCAAATGTCTGTAATATCAGGATGGAATCAACTTCGACCTTTAATAGAAATTTGTAAGATATTAGTGAATCGTGGATATAATGTGAGCAGGAAAAAAAAATAAATCACGTTTTATTATTTGATCTTTCTCAATTAACTCCTCTCTCTTATCCAAAAGGTGACATTGATCTCACCAGGAAAATATTCATCGCCATCATCAGATTACCCGATAATCCATCATATTTCTTCGGGACCTTCATTCGATTTAAGTAATATACCGGAATACCGAGAAATCCTTTCAGAAGAATATAGTATTAAAATGTTTGGCAGTTTAAAAAATTATTTAAATTCAAAATATTTAAATGATTTTAATTTATATAAAAAATTGGCTAACGAAACGATTAAGGTTGATTTGTTTTTTTGTGATTTGTTCTTAAATGAAGCATGCATTGACGTTGCTTGGTTAATGAACAAACCCTTGGTCACCATGTCATCTAAATTATGTAAGTAACATAAATTTATTTATAATTTATTCTTCTTAAAAAAAGAGAGAGTACAAAATTATTAAGATCGATCTTTCTATTGGAAAAAAAAAAAACAAAGCGATGACATATGTCCCCTACAAATCCGATCCAATGATGGGATGTCATGTAAATATGGAACGAGAAACATTTCTGGAGAGGTTCCGATGTGCGGTCATCGCACCTATTCAAATGAATTATGTCCTCTCACCTCACACAAAAAGGTTAAATGAATTAAGAAAAAGTATAGACATTTCAAATTCCAAATCTTTTGAAAAATTACAAAATTCTTTATTTCTTGCTGATACATTTTTTGGTTTCGAGGTATGAACGTGAAAATTTTAAGGTGCTTGAATTTTTGCTATACCTTTATTTATCAACTCAATTTATATAATCATCAAGACTCCGCATCAAACTCCACCACTTTACCAGGTGAGTTAGTTTCCTTTTACTTTTTTTTTTTTTAAAAAAAAATTATCTTTTATTTTATTTTATAAACAAATTTTTTTTTTTTTTTAAAAAAAAAAAAAAAAATTAGGAAATTGGACCAATCATGTCGGATAATTATCCACCTTTAACACAGAACCTTTATAATTTCATTGCTTTACACAGGAGAATAATATATGTCAATTTTGGCACTCAAATCTGCACGACATACAAGACCAATGTAATCCTCCTTCAAGCGTTTATCGAAGCGATAAACAATAATATAACAGATGGAATAATTTGGACACTTGAAAAATCATCGTCAAAAGTGTTATTCCCATCTACAATAACATTATCAGATAACAAAACTATTATAAATACTTCAAGTCATCCGAGCATTCACATCATAGAATATTCCCCACAATTTGCAATATTAAATCATACAAATGTTAAAATACATTTAACACATGGGGGAATAGGAAGCATTTATGAATCGTTGTATACGGGAACACCAATGTTATTATTACCTATCGCGTTTGATCAATTAGGAAATTCCGAAAAATTATTAGAAAATGGTGTTGGATTATTACTTTCAAAAGGTTCACTTGATGTTCAAGATATTATTAAAAAGATTAAAACGTTACAAAAAGACAAAGACATACTCGTGAATGTAGAAAGGATGAAAAATCTGGTCATCATGAATAGCAAAAGAAAATTTAGGGCAGCAGATTTGATTGAATTTGTTTTATTTTCAAATCATTTAAATTCAATGATAGAACTTCAGGAAAATAGTTTTAAAGATGATTTAAAAGTATGGAGGATTACACCAGAAACGAGATTAGGATTTAAATACTTGGACGTTTACGTTTCTCTTTTGGTGGGATGTTTAATGTTTATTGTGATAATAATTTGGTTAATTTGTGAGGCTTGTAAATCAATATTTGGAAATTTAATCTCGGTTGTTACGGGTCATAAAATGACTTATACTTAAAATATATTTGGTAAATTTTTTTTTTAAATTTGATTAAAAATTAATTTAATTTGGAAAATCGTAATTAGATTTGTGAAACATCATTCGGATAAAAGTTAAAAATATAAAAAAGATCTGGTATAAATACTAACACTAACCATGTATCATGTGGTTACAAAACCTTAATAATATTACCATTCCTTAATTTTAAATGTATATTACACATGTCTAAATCATGTCACCTTTTTTTTTAGATAATTTTGGACGAAGATCCTGATGAAATTTAATTCGAATTATTGTGAAACCATTTTTGCTTAATGATTGATTGTCTGGTAATCGTACAACGATTGTTCCATTAATTTTGAGTTTTTTTATTTTTGTTACCGTATGATTCTATAATGAAAATAATTGACATCATTTACATAATCCGCGGAAAGTCCCGTAACCTCAGAACGAATTTTCTATTAAAAAAAAGAACCCAGCCCATTTATTTTTATACTAAACTATTAACAGAACGAGACATTTAATCATAAGTCATGAGAAATTAAGAAAACCGTCTTGGCAAAAAAAAAAATTCAGCCATAATTAAAATTTCTAGAAATCTTTTTTTTTTTAAATGAACCTTTTTCGAAATACAATGGTACAATAAATAGTATGGTAGTGTAAGATAAATAGTTACGTTACTCCTTGAGAACAAACATTTTGATCAACCTGCCCCCCTTCTCGCATTTTTTAACCCCTTATCACAGAAGTTTGTATTCTAACATTGTCTAATAAATACCACCTCAAACCGGGAACGTCCTTCAAACTTTTTTTTTTTTTTTTAACAAGAAAAAAGAAATTTTCATTATACTTATAATATATATATATTAAAAAAAAAAAAAAAACAACTTATATCATGTCTCGTTTTATAACTTGTTTGACGCTGCTTCTTGCTATTGTTACCTTGGCCTCTGCCCGTAAGTATCCTAAATAATTTTACTTGTGCTTAATGCGAAATAGTGTGTAAATATGTCATAACTAGTCAGTTACGTAATCGAAATCTAATTTCTTTTATTTTTATTAAACAAAATAAAATTTCAGAGGTCAAGACGATAAATACTCCAAATGGAGACATTACACAAGGAGCGACTGTTAAAATCACTTGGGAACTAATGGCACCAGTGAATAATTTAGGAAACTTACGAGCCGTTAACAAAGCTACGCAAGGTTCAACTACAATATCAGATACTTTAGATCTGAATGCGTTATCACTTGACTGGGTGGTTAATGTAGACCCGGGTAATTATAACTTCGCCCTTAACGATGGAAGTGGAGATAAATATTCTGGTCCATTTAATGTAGTAGCACGTACGTCTCTCTCCTTTTTTTCTCTCTTTTTTCTTTACTTGTTCTATTTTTAATTTTTATTTCAATTTTTAGCAAAAACACCTGCCCCCGCTGATGGCAAAGCTCCTGCTCCTGCTGACGGAAAAGCTCCTGCTCCTGCTGACGGAAAAGCTCCTGCTCCTGCCGATGGCAAAGCTCCAGCGGCTAAAGATCCAGCTAATAAAACACCCAATAAAACACCCGCTGCTGAACCAAGTCAACCTCCAAAAGCCCCAGCGGAACCAAATGAACCAAAAAATCCAAAGTAAGGATTCTTATAATCTGGATCATCAATTCGTTCGAACTTTATACCAGGATTTATCTAATCTAATTTAATTCATTAAATCCAGGGTTTCAAATCAAGAAGCAACAACTCCTCCAAACTCGTCTGGAAATTCCGTTACCTTGGTTTATGATCTTTTATTGAGTCTTATCGGTGTGGCTACTCTTATGACATATTCCGCCTAAATATGATGTAATTTCTCAAAAAGGAAAGATACTTACATTGCTGAATAATACTGTAGAGAAATTTTTTTAACTTTGCAGCCAGTTTTGTAAATGAACACTTCCTCTTCCTTCACAATTAGATATTTAATTATATAATATAATAATAATTTTCGTTTTCGAACTTAATAAACTTGATAAACATTATTTATCCTTATACGGAAAGCTCGTCTACATGGAAAAGCATTTTCTCTTTATTATTTGAATTTCCTCAATTATGATAAAGAATTACATCTTGAACTAATGAATCAAAATCTCATCGACGACCTAAAAAGAGGGCGTAATTAAAATGATTAAATATAATAAATTTGACACAATATATATATCTTTATCTATATATATATATATCTTACCCAGTAGTTTAATCATTCCCACCAAATGTTGAATTCCAGATTCGGAGATGAATCCGATGACATTATAAACTCTTTAATCACCATTTTTTTCTCTTTACTATACTTTTCGATTAAGCCCCTATAAACCACCCTATCCAGTTGATGATCCCCATGAAAATTAAGTCGAAATCTCTTCAACTCCACCCTGCAATTATCGAAAAAACCTACCAAGGAGCCATCAGATAATACCATATGAATAAATTCCAGAGTATCCAAGCTTTTAGGTAAAAACTTTGCCATTTCGACAGTGAATCCGAAATTTAGCATACGACATGATCTTGTCAATGACAACTTTTTCAGATTATCACATTTCCTTAGAATTGAGAATAAATGTGGAATATCTTGCTTTTCGATAATAAAAACGCTGAAACTAGAAAGGTTCTTGTTACAATTTTCCAATATACCTTTTAACATTTTATGATTATTTTCCCCTTCATGTTTGATACTAAGTACATTCAAATTGGACATCATGTTATGGTTATGCATAATTTTAATAAAAGGATTGATACCATTTGATATTCTAATCGTTCCATCCGAGTAATCAATAAAATCCAATTTCAAAGTTTTTAAATTTGGGAATGATGCTCGATTAAAGATTCTTAAATGTCGTAATTTCAAATTTACTTGAACTAAAGACAAGCTTTCCAATTTCTTGCATTTTAATAATGATTCAAATCCGAGATCATTTCCAATATTTGCATTTACAAGTTTAAGTTTCTTCAATGTATTTGCCTGAGTTTCCAAATTAGATATCACCCCAGAAATATTGCTCAATTTATCGATAATATATCCCAAACTATCTCCTCTGATTGTTATCTGTTCAAGTTCGTTTTGTGATTTAATAAATCTCTCCAATGGTACCTGAAGATCATTGAGATTAAAATCGTTGATCCAAAGAACTTTCACATTTTTAGAAAGTAATGCCAAACATGAAAGGATATTATTTTTATAAATGCATCCACTGAGTTCAACATGTTTCAATTTATGAAAAGATTTCTTTCGATGTTCATGCGTCATAGCAAACAAACTTATGAAGAACGTGTCAAGTCTTGAGATGAACTGATCAACAGAATATTCATCCAAGCTACTATGAAAGATGGAGGTTGGCGCTTCTCTCTCAGGATTTTCTCCAAATAAATCATTTTCATCCAAACGAAGGACAATTCCTTCAATGATAGCTCCTCTTTTTACTATAATTCTTATGATGGTAAATACAAATCCAAAGACTTGATCAATTTCTGGGACTTCTGATAAGGAAACATTTAATCCTTTTTCGTTTTCATCCTCAGAAACTTCCTTCCCTTTTCCCTTTTCCGAGGTTATTTCATTTGAAAAATTGGAAGGATTAACTTCAATGTTAAATTTACTTTCCTTGTTTTTAACATAACCGGTAACAAGAAGAAATAGATTATGAAAATCTATATATGTGATAAAAGAAGGATAATCAAAGGACGTGTCCAATGGCAAAGAACGTTCCATATCATCATTCTGATCATAATCATCCATTTCATAATCCTCATGATCTTCATCTTCCTCCTCCTCATAATATTCATCAAAATCCACTTCGTCGAACTCTTCATCATCATAATCTTCTGACCAACAATCACAATCCACATGTTCATGAACATCACTGTCAATTTCAAACTCCTCATCCTCATCCATATTCTTCTCGTTTACTTTTTCATTACCCTGTCCTTCATTTTCGTCCTTGTCATAATTTTCTAGCTCGGCTTCCTCATCATCGATTTCCTTTACTATCTTGTCATAAGTTTCCCATATAAATCTCTTCATAAATTCCTTATCCTTTATGATGAATTTCAAAAGAAGAGGAACGATCTCGATGTGTTTTTTTAATTCAACATTGCTACGAAATGGATGTTTCCAAAGATACCTTATACCATTGCGACACCAATTACGATTTACCAGTACTATCGAAAACAATGTTTTTATGTCGTTAATATTATTAAAGATTTCTTGTAAAATTTCGTTTGGAAAAGTTGACATTTTTGATCAAAAAAAAAAAAATTAGTGAAAGATGAGGAGAAGTTAAATTGACATGCTCAAGTTCCCGATTCGGTTACTTTAAGGAGGCATGATCTTCTAAATAGCGCCCCTTAGAAAAATCTATCTGGGATCCAAACGCGAAAACAACACGCCTTGATCTTATTAGATGTCACGTGAACGGCAATATATATTGATTTTTTTCTCTTTTCTTTTTTTTTTGAATTAGCACATAATTTATGTAGCTTAAGTTACTGTAAACGACTCTACTACTCTTCCAAAGGTATCCTCCTTTCATTTCGAATGTATTTCCTCATATTTGAGGACAAGATATGTATTTTACCCTGGATACAAGTTTTCGGAATATCGGGGGGGAAAAATACCACGATATAGGTATTTACTTCTTCATTTGGTCATTAAATTCATTAAATCGTCTATCGGTTAGATCAAATAATTTTTCGGATTCAAGATTATCATGTGTGTCGTATAAATTAGGTGGTTAAAAAATATTTTAAAAAGATTTAGAAAATTACTTCATATCACCAGTATTACCACCAAGTTTTTCACCCCCACGTGATCATAGAAATATTTGTCACGCCGCGCCACACCCTCCGCCTTTCCATTTTCATAAGTATTCTGGAACAGAGAATTTTTTTGGGGTGTGAAATCATATTTGTCACATATTATTCGTCACATGGTTAATTTCTTAATGCCGTAATGCCGGACAAAAGTCACGTGGAGGGTGAAAAACTTGGT